TTTAAAGTTTCAGCTCACTGAATGAGAGGTTGAACAAGTTTTTCAGTTTCTTGAACAAGTTATTCAGTTTGTTTTGGTATATTGGTGTAATCTAAATGGACAGAAAAAAATATATTGACTAAGGTTAAAAGGAAAAAGTAGCATATGTTCATAACTGTGCCTTTATATTAGTCAAAGATTCTTATTTGTTAGTTGAAAAAAATACCCTTTGTTGTTGAACTGCTACAGTAGGAAGCAGATGGCTGTTTAAATCCCAGAATTCCCACCAGAAAATGTGAACAGATGTCTGTAAGCAGAAATAGAAAAAAAAAAATCTTTCTGTAAGTCCATACACTGGGAACAGAACTATTTATGAGATTTTATAAAAATCTCTCTGCTTCCAGAAGCCAATAAAACATTTTGTCTTCCTTTATCTTTCCCCCTTCTTCTCTCTCACTTTAAAAGTGCACGCCTGTAACATGGATGGGGCTTTGACAAATCAGACCAACTTTTAAGAGTGTGGGAATAGTCCTAGTAACACACCTGGCAACTTTGTTTATCTGTCTTCCTCAAAATGATAGCTTCTTTTCCAGATTTGTTGACATTACAGGCACAAAACCTGTCATTTACGCAAGAGCAAGGCTCAATGCAAAGTGAACTTCAGAAGGCCTAGTGATTATAAAAGAGCAGAGATGTAGGTGGACAAGTTTGAATGTTCAGCAGATGTAAGTGGTCAATAAAACTACGCGATCGCAGGTCAGCGGTAGAAGCTGGAATATTTATTGAACACGCGACACGCAATATAAGGGTCAGGTGGGCAGGACATGTTAATGAAGAAGATGGTTTGTGCTAACTAGGGGATGGGTTATGCTAACTAGAGGATTACACAATTCTCTATTGCAATTACACAAGGTGGTTAATATTCTCCTGAAGCGAGGACCACATGGGGGGAAGAGAACAAAAGGGTTTCTACATCGTCTGACATCATCATCACAAAGTCTTTCATATCTTGCTGAAAGAGACAGGAAAATAGCTAAATATTAATGAGTCTTATGATGAAGCATCCGGTCGGTCCTCAGATGAAGGAATTTCTCTTAGCTCCTGTTGCTCAAGGCCGGCTGCTTAATCCTATCAGACCCTTTCCTGCTGACAGCCGAGTTTTGGTCCCAACAGTAGCCCCATTGTGGGTGGGTTGTGGCCCCTCAGGGGCCCAGCACATCGTGCCTGCTCTCCTCACACTCCTCGTCATGCACCCTATCTGGCTTCTCTGCCTGTATAGGTTCTGAAGCTCACAGGGGGGTTGGTCAACCAAAGAACTACCCACAACTGACTGCAGGAGGCTCAAGGCAGCATGCAGCCAGCCCCTGCCCCTGTGTGCCCTATCAAGACAAGGGAGAGCTGAACTCAAATGTCTGGAGGGTATTCTGTGGTCCCTGCATGTGGGAGTTCCATAATGGGGCTCTGAATATGGACAGTGTTCTACTGGCAGTAAACACTGGCATACTCATCACCGGAGTGACAGTGAGCAAAATGGGGTGTCCTTGGTCACTAGAGCTGGAAGAGTCTCTTCTTCCATGCTCCAGAGAACATTCATGTGATATGACAGAAACTGAGGGGAATGACAAAGGAAGCTGTGGGAGCCTTCTGCCAGTAGTGGTGCAGAGCGAGATACAGAAGACCCTCAGAGAAGCAGAAGGGTAAAGCACAATGTAGAGAATTGTGCAGGCAGCCATTTCAGTTCAAAGGTCCAGTGGAGTGAAAAGGAAAAAAACAGCAGTAAAAGGAGTGGGGGAACATTAATTTTTAACTCAGATCTGTACTTGTGTTTTCCATTTGCAGTTTTGTAAAATTATTTTGTTGCAGCTTTTAGATGGCAAGATACTTTTTCTCACTAGACCTATGTATTATTGGTAGCCCCTATGTGATTCCCAAGCTGAGTGCTCCTTTCAGACTACAACACTGGCTGCGGAGTAGTTCTGTGCAATTTCGTTCCCTGCCCTGACTCTTAGAGAGGCAATGACAAACTGTTTTCTTCACTTGGCTGTCAACAGGATTGGATCCTTGCTTACTAGGAGAGATGTAGTCTTTTAGGTTGCACTCCTATTGATCCTATTAGCTTTCTTAGCAATTCATGAATATTTATGCCAACATACAAGCTGCACAGTTTACTCAGTTCCCTTAGAGAGAAATTTGTATTAAATTGGACATAGTTCAGTGACTTGTAGACATCACATATTCTCCTCCAAACTACTGAGAGATGCATGCCAACAAAGAGAAAGTCAGACAAAAACGGCAGGAAGAACAAGGAACTCTTGAATCCACTCCACTTCAAAAACGAAGCTTACAGGGGCTACCTTCACAGAAATTGGCCAAGAAGCCAGGAGTCAGGTTAGGGAAGCTAAAGCACTGATAAAATTAAATCTGTCCAGGGACATCAAGGGCAGCAAGAAAAGCTTCTACAGGTACATCAGTGATAAAATGGAGACTAGGGAAAATGTAGGCCTTCACTGGAAGGAAGCGGGAAACCAGGTTGCCCAGTTCATGGAGATGGCTGAAGTACTCGACTTTTGTGCCTCAGCCTTCACTGACAAGTGCTTCAGCCATACCACCATATTTGCCAAAGGCAAGGAAGAATTAAGAACTGCCTGTTGTAGGAGAAGATCAGGTTTGAGGCCATCTAAGGAACCTGAAGGTGCACAAGTTCATAGGATTTGGTGAATATATCGGTGGGCCCTGATGAAAGGGATGAAGGAAGTAGCTAAGCCACTATTCATCATATTTGAAAAGTGAAGTTGTCACTGACTAGAAAAAAGAAATATAACTACCATTTCTAAAAAAGAGAAGAAGGGAGACCCAGGGAGCTACAGGCCAATCAGTCTCACTTGGGTGCCTCGCAGGATCATGGAGCAGATCCTCCTGAAAACTGTGCTGAGGCACATGGAAAATCAGGAAGAGTTTGGTGACAGATAACATGGTGCCACTAAAGTCAAATTGTGCCTGACAAATTTAGTAACCTTCTGTGATGGGGTTACAGAGAAGCTGATGATGCCCCACCCCTCAATGTGTACAAGGCCAGGTTGGATGGGGCTTTGTGCAACCTGGTCTAGTGGAAAGGGGGTTGCCTTAAGGTCCCTTCCAACTCAAACCATTCAGTGGTTATGATTCTATGTTTTTAAACTCATGTATTTATGCTGAATAAGTGTCCAAGTAAGTTTAAAAGAGATATGCTTTAGCATCTCCCCTTTTCTCTTTTCAGTTGAGTAGGTTGTCTAGAAGTGGACCTGCTATGATGTGAACATTAGTCAAATTCTGATTTGCTTAGTGAAAAAAATTCATGCTGTCCTATAGGGAGTCTCAAAGGATTGGAAATGGAATGCATTTTAGGCCTGCAGCAGGTTTTTTGCTACTGTTGGTATAGATTACTTCTTTAATGCTGGTATAATTTTTTTGAGAAGTTCAGTTGTTTGAAGTCTCATGACAAGAACCAAACTGGTGACTAGACCCTTAAACATATAAGGAAATGCCACATGAAGCTGACTGAGGACAAGGTTTGTGAATGCAACTGAAAACCATTTCTGTACACTCCTCATCCTTGTGCCTTTTAGAGTTTCACTCATCAGTACTAAATTGAAGGGTTCCCTATATATACCACACTTGGATTAGTGTACCCTTCTCAATATCAATAACTGGCTTGATTTGCATGCAGCTTTAGAAAATAATGTAACTTCTCATACATGTGAGCTGCAGAATGAAGCTTGTAAAGTGTGTCAAACGGACTACAGATGTCCTTTCTGGTACTGAAGATACGTACTGCAAAAATAGTGACAGCAGTTCCCAGCATCTGCACTATAGTGGCCTTTCTGTGTTAGACATGCCTTTATGGTCACCTGAGCACCCACCCCCTCCCATCGGTAATTTTTGCTGGGGTGTGCTCTCGCAGACAAGGTTCCGCCGCAGATGGTGCTGAGGCATTGCTTTATGAGTTATACTTTGGAGATTTTCGTTTGGTGTAGGAATCTTCTGGTTAACTACTGGGGCTGAGCTGAAGTGATTAAAACTGAGCAATTAAAAAGAAGGGATAGCTGGGAATGCAACCCACAGAAACCAGCCTGCTACTGCACTGGTTTCACAGCTGACTGCGTAACTGGATATTCTGACACAACAAATGTTGCTTTGAGCTCTGTTCTCTGCTGAGCCATGGCAGTGACTCCGTGGAGGCTTGCTTGTGGGTTATTATTATTAAAGACTTCTGATTAGAAAATTAAATCGGCATTGTTCTGACTACTCAGAATCTGCCTCTGGAGAAAGGAAGGAAATAACACAGTGAAGACCAACAGGGAGGAATAAAATACTGTGGACTGCTGTGGTGAATGTTTCTCAGCAATCTCTGAAATCTATGGACGGCAGGAGTTCCGGAACACACGCAGACGATCAATATGATCAGAGGATGTTCAATTTATTATTTAAATGAGTTAACTTTTATACAGTTTAGTTTTTTCTGGATACGCAATCACAGCAAGGTGATCGGATAGCTCAGTCTGTGCACGCGTCTCATGCCTTCAGTTCATTGGTTCTGGTGCTCTGCCCACGTGCTCTGACATCATTCGTGCCACCCAAAGTCCCTCCTATCGATCCACCTTTAGGGGCTTTCCGAGATTTTCCAGGTGTCCCTTTATTTCCAGTTTTCCCACAACTTTTAACTATAAACAGATGATTTTCACACAGCTAACAACTATAAACATTGCATAGTTTCACACAGTTTGCAAGTATAAACAAAGAGTTTTCACACAGCTTGTAATCTCCAAAGCTATGCCAAGCGAGGCCCAGTGCTTCTTAAAAAGATGGATTGTTCATAATGTGTCCATTTTCCTGCAAATATCCCACACTCTCCTGCTCCATAAGAAGAGGGAATGCAGGGAATTTTGAGAGTGTTTGTCAAGTCTATGCTTTACAGATTAAAAGTGGAAAAAAAAAAGTTGGGAAAAACTCCAAAACACCAAAATAAGAAGAAATGGACATACCTCTTTCCGGGAAACCAAACTTGCAGTCTGTGGCTGATAAATATGCCAAAGCCTGTAAATTAAAATGAAATTTTGTAAAATCTCTGTATAACTATACAGGAGAGACCAGAATAATGGAAGGCAATTCAGCCCAGAGGCTGTAGGAATCATTAGCCAGCAAAGATTAGGGAACTAAAGGTGATGGTGTATGTTGGTGCTCTGAAAAAAAGAGTAAAGAAGCAGTCACTGCCAACCAGTTTAAAAGGGAACAGAAAAATGTGAAAAATCAATATATTTTGTTTGTTCAAGTTATTTTACTTACTTTTGCCTATGGGTTATTAGAAATAAACTTTAATTTCACCCTTTCCAAGGTTATAGTGTATCATTGTCTTGATGAGAAGACAGGTCCAGGCGTTGAAATATTTTCTACTTGTCCTATCATAGATGTTATGAGATGACTTTCCTATGGACTGTTTCAGAGTGTAGTGATGCCAGTTACAATCTCCTACTATATCACAACAGATGAAAAACCCAGAAGGCTTTCTGACCCTATAGGTAGTAGCTTATATGCACTGTTGTCTGAGATACTACAGCACTGTTTTGATATTAAAAAGAAATAATAACAAATAATGGAGCTATCAACCTGAGAAAAGACTTCTTGTCAGCCTAGTGCAGAAAAGCACACTATAGACAGAACAAAAGCTGTCATTTTACAGGGGAAACAATCCAATGTTCTTATTTCTTTTGTAGTGAAGTAGGTTATAGTAATCAGTTTGCCCCTCTTTAGGTCATTATTGCCTTTGCACCTATTCTTAATTATGTATTTGGAACATCTGAATCTATCTGATGAACACTGAAACTGTCACCTTCATTAGTGGCACCTGGAACTTATGCCTCTTTCACAGTAAGCCTGCTTCAATATTAATTCAAAAAGGATTTTGCTCTTTTAGCAAGGGAGATACGGATACATTTGTCTGAAGTAGTTTAGAATGTCTGGCTTGTCAGATGGAGGCTTGCTTCTAACCTGTCAGTACAGCAAGGACCTGAAAGCGTAATGAAGTAGTGTCTCCTGTCACACACACATATATATATACAAAAGGACATATGGGCAAAATGGTGTGAGGAGAAGCATTAGAAAGCTATTTCAAAGTAATACCATAGACAGTCCATCAGTTGCTAGAGTTATTTAAGGAAGTGATGACATAAATGCTGCATTTGGCCTCTGATCTTTTAATGCAAAGTCCGTCCTTTAGACAGACTTTAACCTTCCTTTTCTTATAAGTCTGTGTATTTATGTGTGTTTTGCTCTTCTACAGTGAGAGTTTTCCTCATAGGATTGGCAGTCACTACTTCATTCCAAAAAGCCTAAAGGAAGATACATTGCCATGAGTTATTCAACCCAGATACATGACAGGAGAAACATCAGATTGCAGGAGGGCACAGAGGGCTCAGAGCTAATTACCTTTTTTGAGAAAGTATCTTCCAGGGATTCTTAAACTAGATATACAAAATTATCCATTTCATGAAAAATGAGGCTTCTGTGAATACTTACAGCTACACAGGCTCTCTTAGCAGTATTGGTCACAGTCTTTGATCCTAGAGATGGAGCAACTGGGAAACCTTGCCAGCTGGAGCACAGGATAAATGAAGTCTTTCTTTTCCTTGTATTGGGAAGTGAACTGAGGCACCAAAGACAAGCGCTTTGGTTGACAAAGAGAGCCTTGGCATTGCACTTAAGGTAGCTTTTTTCCTTCAATTTTCCTGGCAAAACCAAATACAGTACAGCAAAATAATATTTTCTGAAAGTTTTTGACCTAATGTATTGGGTCTGGCTGAGCTGGAGTTCATTTCCCCACAGTAGCCCTCACAGTGTTGTGCTTTGCTTTGGCAGCTTAGAAGGGTGTTAATAACCCACCGGTGTTTTGGCTGCTGCTGAGCACAGCATCAGCACTGTAACATTCCTTCCTTAGTTGAGGGCAAGATCCTGGGAGGGGACCCAACTAGGCCAGCTGACCCAAACTGATCAAAGGGATATTCCATACCATATGACGTCAGCTCAGACATAAAAGCTAAGGCACAGAGCTGGAGGGTGGGTATTCATTGTCTAATGGCTGCCTACTGAGAAACCATCACGTGTACCAAAGCCCTGCTTCTCGGGAGTGGCCGACCATCACTGCTCATGGGAAGTAGAGAATAAAACCTGTTATCCTTTGCTTCTATGCGTGCAAGCTTCGCTTTGCTTTTTGCTTTAAATAAATTTTCTTATCTCAATCCACGAGTTGTTTTCTTTTTTTTCCACCTTACTTGCTCCCCTGTCCCTCTGGGAAGGTGAGTGATAGAGCAGCTGGGTGGGCACCTGACATCCAGCCAAGGTCAACCCACCACACCTAAGTTCACAACTATAGCCCCAGGTAGATTTGAGATTCTGTGCAGAGGGTTTTCTGAAGAAAAGAGCCCCGAGGAATTATATCATGCAGAATGATGCAAGCTGTCACAAGCTCAGTGTGCCTTGGTGTCCTCCAGACCTTGGTCGTGTCACCCTGTGTGTAGAGCAGGAAGGATGTGATGTGTTTCCTGACACTGTTTCAAATCTATCCTATGTGATTCTGATTTTATTTTTTTTTGGAAGATACTGAAATGTCAGCTAATGTTCTCTATTTTGGAAGCAGCATTGTGAATATAGGTATCTGACATTGTTTCTTTCAGGTTTTCTATTCTTTCCAGTCTTCTACCATTTTCAGACTGTTTTGGTTGAGCAGTCTGGATAGGGGTTCTCTCGCTGACTGAAGCAATCAGAGATTTCAGTCTGGTGAACACTTTAATATGGCCAGCAGTTTTGTGGGGCTTTGAGAGCAATTAAGGTCCTTTTGCTTCTCTTGGGAGGATTTAGCATCTCCTGTCAAACAATCTCCTGTCCAGTACTAGAAGCCCCAGTTATCCTTTCAAGGGTTGTCCTTGATGATATAACAAGCTGTCAGATATCCTTGTTAATTTAGCATTTCTTTAGGGCTCTTTCTTCTCTGTGAGAAGACAGCCCGTTGGAGAATAGTTAGCCAAAGTAGCTCATCCTAATATCATGCTATGTACGGACAAAACCACAATCAAGTGATGATTTTAGTTTTGCTCTTGGGGAGCATCTTGGGGGATGTAAACCATTTCCTTAGGAAGCTTCTGCTTTCACTTGACTATTGCTGGTGATAATTAAGCTAATGAGGGATTGCACCTTAACGGCAGCTGTATATCTGTCAGGATGCACTCCCCTCAGACATCTCAAGATATCTGGTATCTTTTGTAATCCCTCCATTTTTGTCTCCTTTTGAAACAATTTATTACACCCTTCACAATGCAACTATCTGATTATGGAGTTTAGTCATTATTGCATAATTTGAGCTATTAATAGGGTAACACAATTAATGTGTAGTTCTCTCACTATTTTGTTATCATAAACCCTGGCAAATGTGGGTTTCCTTTTAAGGCCAGCAGGTTATTTGTTCTCCCCAAAGTGAATTTTCAAATGTTATAATGCTTTTAAGTGCTTCAGAATTCACAGATGATGGTAGCAACAAGGCTTGGTAGATAGCTGATAAAAAAGTGCCCTTTTCCCATGATCCCCCTTTCGTCCATCCCTTCCTTCACAGCAGCTTTTACTACACACAGTGTGTGTGGTCAGTTTTAAATAGAGAGAAAAGAAATGTGTGAATCAGACACCCCAAGTACTCCCCTTTGGCACCCGCAGGTCAAACAGGTTCATTAATTTACAAACCATTACCAACATCAGAAATTTCCACTGGCAAAGTTGTGTAGTTGTCCTGTGTCTTCCACCTATACAGCCTTGGTTATACAGATGAAAGCCTAATTTATGTGGTATATGTGGCAATATCTGTTATGTTTATTTATTCCATGTACTATCCTTTCACGTTTTAAGAATTAGCTGCCTATATCCCCAGGCAAAGGAAGATAGAGTTCAGATAGGAGGCACATTGTGCTTCTGAACTGGGACTTCTGATGTCTTAAGTAGCTTCTGTGGGTACTTATCAGATTTAAATTACAGGCTAACTTGGATGCAATGGAGGTGGTCATTAAAATATACTAATGGCTTATTGTTTTCTCTGTGTGGCAGCAAGGTGGATGACTTCAGCTCCTACGACCTAAATTATGCCCTATGCTGTCCAGAGGAGACAGAAAACTTTTTATTTTAACATAATTTATTTGAGCTAGGGTTTAGAGTAAGGCCTTAAAAATACCCCAGTGTTCTCTATCTGTAAAAGACATCTTGTGAGGAGCAGCTGTTAACTGTTCACACATGAGAAGTCCTGGCAGGGTGGAATAACTTGTTTTCAGATTGTGCCCTGTTACACCTGTGACTATGACTGTGGGTCTGCACAGATGCACTTAATTGTCTTCAGTGGGACTGCGGTTTACAGAGAGTAATTTGGCTCAGCAGGTGAAATTCAGGGAACGTGCTGTTGTGTCAGAATTCATATATTCAAACAAGGAATCCATCCTTTCCTTACCTGTAGCTATGCTGGCTTTGCAGTGCATTCAGGAATAGGAAGCACGTCAATCAATGAGTCAATTCAGTAAAGATGAATCGGAATGTTCTTGGGAAGCAGGTCTGCACACTGAGCAGATGCCATCTTTCCATAGTATAATTGTCTTGCATGGAGACTGAAGGGTAGGTTTGCTGAAGGAGAAGGTACAGCTAAACATTCAAACTGCTTCAGTGTTTGTACCTGCACTGTGCTTGGTTGCTGCAGGCATGGGAACATGCAGCCTGCTGCCTCTTCAAGAGGGTGGGAGGTCCCATCCATTTAAAACTGGATCTTGGCGCTTGAACATTCGGAGTTAGATTACTTATGAGCAAAAGTGTATGTGTGGTGTGAATTATTGTGACTGCAGAAGGGCAGGCAATGTGTTTGTGGTGAACTTTTTGAAATTAAAGGTTCTTCTGGATGGAGATCTGGTGAGTTAAGAAAGCAGCCTGGCTGGAGGGGTTGTTTGGGAGCTTATTTTGGAGAAGACAAAAAAGGCTGATGTTTTTAATCTTTTTGCATAAGGAAGACATTAATAAATGAAGGGTAAAAGATAGTTTAAGCAAATAACCTGTTGCTGTTGCAAAGTCTTCAAACAACTGTATCTGGAAACATATGCATAATATATCAGTTGGCTTGATTTAGAATCCATTTTATTATAGCTCTTCTGTGTTGCTATTTCTTGAAAGTTGTCATTGTAGCAAGAAAGACTGTTCTCTGCTAGAACTTGATGGCTGTAGAGATTAGAGGATATAGTCTGCTAACAGTGACATCTATAGTACACTCAGAGTAGACAGTTCTTTGCCTCTTTTTTTTTTTTTTTTTTAGAAAGTTATTTCACAAATACTCTTCACTCAGAAACACTCTGGGAACATTATAAGTGAAGTAATAAAGTAATGATGCCTTTTCTTCTTTCCTCAGTCAAGTAATAAACCTCAGACTGGGAAACTATGGGAGCAGGGTTATGGGGCTTACCAGATAGATCTGACACCAGGAATAATAATAATTTTGTGAACGGACTCAGTGGACGAAAGAAGCAATGGTAGAAGAACTTCTCTGTCAAAGCCCCAATATGTCTGGAGTGGAAGGTATTCCTCCTCTTCTATAGAGTTGCCTGGCTAGTTGGAAATGGAAAAGAAAGATCATACTGGTTTGGGTTGAATAACTCTTCAAGACATTGATGGTAAGGCTGACTTGGTAGCTTAATAGTTGGGGCCTTCACTTAAAAGAACAAAAATGAGTGCCTGATGTTTGAGAGCTTGAGAGATACCCTTATTTAAATATCATAGATCAGAGTTTTTAAAGCTGATTTACTCTTCCTGGTCTGATAGTGAACTGTACTGACTATTTGCTGTATTAAAGGAGCAGAGATGGGGCTTACTAATTCTACAGAATGTGCAGAGGAAAATAGATTTGCTGTGGTTATGATTCAGACTTGGTTTTATTGAGTAGTGTGTCTCTAAACTAAAATCAAATCTGTGTTAGACTACTGCTGATAATTTCTGTGTATTTTCAAAGAATTGGTATGTAGCTGTCTCCTCCCAGTCCATAGCGAAGCTCACTTGTTTTCTCTTGCACTGAAACAGCAGATGAATGCTCAGGCAAGCACAGAGAGCAATTCACTCAGTGTGTTGCCGAAGTATCTGCACAGTTTACCACAGTTTACGGCTCTTGCTGCATAAAAGAAGAGTTCAGTCTTCCCTGCCAACCTGATACACACTTGGTATTCTGCTCCAAGAAGGTTTTTAGATATTATAAGGAAGAGAACAAAAACTCTGGAAGCAATGGTCTGAAAATTAAGGCTCAGGTTCAAACTTAAGTGGTAATTTGTCTTGCAGAGTGCATATGCCTGATGTTAGTTAATTTAGAGTCCTGCTGTATGTATACACTGCTGGAATGTTGAGTTCAGTGTAGATGAATAATAAATGAATGTAAGAATTTTAAATTCAGAGGTTAATTTAAGCAGTATTACATGCATTAGTGAAGGTAGAAAAAAAATTCATGTGATCTTATATTCTGCAAAACCGTGACAGTTACTTTATATAAATCCTCATCATTTGTAAACGTCTAACTCAGATGGTGTTCTTGCATACTATACTCCCTCTAATTTTGATTCCTGGGCCTGAGTTGAAAGGAATCTGACATGGGAGTTTTCTATCTCTAATACTGTACTCTTGTGTTATAGCTTTAAATTAACTATTCTGCATATGGCTAACAATTAACTATGAAATCATAATGTAGCCTAAATTTAGTGACAGGTTATCTCTCCATGTCTGTGGCTCCTTCCCCCAACCTCTCCCGCCACTCTTTCC